AATTCCTTCCGTAGAGCATTATAGATTTATCCGATGAGTGTGAGTCGTAGGCCAGGCCGTGGCCGTGGTCGAGGGTGAGCGACTCGACCTTTTGTTAAGATAGGCGATATGATGTCACCGCGAGATCTCCTGTTTCACATGTAGATTTGTTTATTTCTCATGATGATCTAGTTACACCTGCGATAGACCCTTCCATCACTGAGAACAATGACACTGCTATGGATGATGATGCCATTAATATAGTTGTCTTTCACATGTTACAAAGAGCTACTGGAGTTCTTGGTAATATGTCTACGGTTGAGATTTCAATGTCTTTGGTAGCTGCTGGAGTAGTTCCGTTTGAGGGCATTATTGGTGGACCTCCAACAGACGTTGAGTATTGATTGGAGGATACAAAGTGGATTATGGATGAGAGGGATCTCAGGCTTGAGCAGAAGTTGAAGAGGGCCCTAACTATGTTGAAGAAAGAGAGTTTTCGATTGTGGTAATCTATTTCAGGTAGTATTTTGGGGAATCAATTAACTTGTAATCTTTTTAAGGCACATTTTCAGAGTCGCTACATCGAAGAGAGATACCTACATTAGTGACACCAAGAGTTTCAGAATTTGGAGCAGGGCGATATGTCTGTTATGGATTATGAGATTGAGTTTATCATATTGAGATGCTATGCTACTGGACTTGTTGATATTGAGTTGAATCAGTGCTTGAGATTCGAGAATAGACTCAGGTATGAGATCAGAAGTCGAGTTGCTACCCACCGGGAGAGGAACTTTGATGCCTTGGTTGAGATAACCAAGACCGTTGAGGAGATAGAACAAGTGTGTATGAAGCGTAGGGGACATAGAGACCGAGACCAATTCAGGAGGCTTTCTGGTTCTATTGAGTCTTCTGCATACCCTAACAAGAAAGGCAGGGGTGAGTCTCCTCAGAGAGGTGGTGCGAGTGCCAGACCTGAGATGTCAAGTTTGCCAGTTGTGACATCTTCTAGTCAGGGTGGTTCTTCAGGGTTTTAGCATTTACTAACATGTGAGAATTGTAGGAGACGTCATTTTAGTGAATGTAGGAAGAAGTTGGGTACCTATTTTAGATGTGGTTCTGATGACCATCTCCTGAGGGATTATCCAGAGCCAGCTGTTACAGTTTAGACCCCAGTTCGTACTCTCACTCGTACTCAGAGTACAATCAGACTCTAGCAGGGAGTCAGAGTCAAGAGAGAGCATCATGATCAGCTAGTAAAAGTCGAACTTCTCATAGTAGAGGTCTAGCCAGATCCGAGGCCAGACAACCTGGGTTGATTTACGCTGCTAGATGTCGACAGGATCATGATGAGCTTAATGTAACTGCAGGTACTATTACTATTAATTCAGTTTCTTACTTTGCCTTGTTTGATAATAGATCTACCCATTCCTATGTCGCATCCCATCTTAGTATTCCTGTTGAGAATACGAAGAGTTCGGTGACAGTTTAGAGTCTCGTAGGTCAGTTCATAGAGTTAGATCGACGGAGGCTCAATTTCCGCATTTATTTCCATCAGGTAAATTACGAGGACGAAATTTCTTTTAAAGGGGAGAGTTATCACACCCCAAATTAGGGCCTAAAATTTTCTTAACATTTTTCCAAGGAGTAACTTGAAATTTTAACTAAATTCGGGGACCAAAGTGAAATTTTGATTAAATTCAGATCCAAATTCAGGAAGTATAAAAAACTGGAGGACCTATGGCATAATTTTACTATTTTCATAAGTGTGGGTTTAAAAGCCCAATAAACTTTCCATTTCAAGAAAATTTAACCCCTTTATCTCTCTCACTCTTCAACATTTCCTCTTTTAGTAGGAAATCTTCAATTGAAGTTTAAGGGGTGAGGAAGATCAAGTTTCTGACGTTTTGAAATCAAGCTCTCCGTCGTTCAGCGCTATGAACCGAGCTTGGTAAGTGTCTTAAAATCCCTTAAAAAGCATGTAGGAATTTTTTCGCAAATTTTTCTACCTTCGAGGGCCCCGCATGCACCTCAACGCAACACCGCTACGCGAGGGGATGTCCCACCGCCTGATGGTTTGTTTTAATTTGGACCGACCTAACCTGACCCATCTGTTTGACCCGACCCGTCTTTTTGACTCGACCCGATCCAACCTAAATCGAACCGGTCACCTGTGGATCGTTGAATGTTGACCGTTGACTGAAGTTGATTTTTTTTAAAACCTCCATCTTGAACTTTTTTGACGTCTTGAGTCCGATTTTATAATTCGTTTTGCCAAATTCTAAACCGAAATCCCTGAATCGAAACCGTTAGTCAAAAAATGCTTAGTATTTTTAGCATTTTTGGTTATTTATTTGAGGTTGGAATATGGAATTGATTCGAGATTATGTTTTTATAATGGTACTCGTGTTTCACCTGATCGAGGATCGGTTAGATCCGATACTTCTCGTCTGTTAAATCCGCATGATTCGTGTTCTTTGAGAGTTACTCGTAGGTTTCTGTAAATTGCTTAGATAGAGGTTATTATTATTCATATTAGGATTCTGATATAAATTTTCTGATTCGTAAGATCTATCGCTGATCGTGATCGATAGACTCAGTAGTAGGCTTCCTTATCAGACTACTCAGACCGATACATGTATGTTTCCTAATGATGTTACATTATTGTTTTAAACTATTTATATGAAATGTTTTAGATTTTTGATAATACTTAATATTTTTACGAGACGATACATGGTTTTTTTAATACAGTTTATCTGATATCTGATTTACTGCGTATTTGTAATATGATATATGATTACTATATTTTTGTATTTATTTTCTAAATATGTAATATTTTCATGTTTTAATGGATTAACCGTTTTCACTCGAATGCATACATGTTTATTTTTGTCATTGGGGGTATTATTGGAGGAAGTATATCAGGCATAGTCTATGACTTGTAAGACCATACTGCAAGCCCCTCTACTTTGAGCACAGGGTAAGTCTTTATTGCAGGTCTTTATGCTATACGTATAAGGCCCTTACCGAGTGTACATGTGTGTGTATGGTTCCAGGGAACCTATACATTATGGTGATCGGATGAGAGTAGTGTTCATATTTTTAAAACACGCTTGATGAACTAATTTTTACTAAAGTATTTTATTTGTATATTTTTATACACCGTAAGGAGCATACTGAGCTTTTTAGCTCATTATGTAAATTTTAACATTTTCATATAGTAGTAGACCGTAGGCTTGCAGACTTAGCATCAAGAGGACCGACTACTCATATTTTGTATCATTGTATATCTCTATATGCCTTTTTGTTACACTTTAGCGACACGTGTTTTTGCTACCATCTCGATATATTTGTATTACCACTATTTTTTTCTGTAAATGTTTTATATGGTTTTCTGATATATGTATACATATATGTTTACCGTATGAATATTTCTTATGGCTAATTTCATATTACATTGTTATATGGATTTTAACATTGTTTTAAATATGAAAAGAATCTCTAATACGATATGTAACCGCCTAGATTTGGTCATAACGTCTAGGCCGGGTCTAGGGGGTTACATAGAATATCAGCTGACCTGTGATGAATTTTTGGATGGTCTTTGGGCAATTCTTAGTTAAAATGTTCTCTTATGTATAAATCACCTTTCAGTTAGCTTTCCAACATATATTGAAACGCCTCAATCGGACATTGAAAACTCCATTATGTTCGTTTTAATAAAGACAATGTAAGCAGAAAACTAGATATAAGTCTAGTACGTGATTTTGTAATAATTATGACCAAAGCGATTAAGCGCCCATATCTTTTCCTCTATTTCTTTGTCAAAGCTTATCCAAACTTAATATGTACAACAAGCAACTCCACACAAAAAGTTTCGGGTTAAGTCACTTTATAGCATTCTATCGATTAAGAGGAATAAATATTGTACCTCCAAAGTCAAATGTTGTTCCTCTGAAGTTATTTGATGTTGCAGCTCTGGAGTCAATGTTGTTCCTCCGAAGTTATTTGATGTTGCAGCTCTGGAGTCAAATGTTGTTCCTCCAGAGTTATTCTTGTCCTCTAGCCAATCATCACCTCTTGACAAGATTACCAAAAAATTCAAGAATTTTGACAAGACTCAAATCTACTGATTCACATTTATATTTATTGACTATATCAACCTACGAACAATAATAATGATCTTAAGTATGAAAATAACACATATATAAAGTCAATATATATACCCTTATGTCTGTCAAGAAAGGCACCACATTGATTTCATCATTTTTTTCTGATAATTATTTTTGTATATATATTTTATATTATTGACCAACTGTAGCATAATCATCTAATGTGATCTTATATTTAAATTAAAGAAGATGAATCATCAATTGATGATCTTATATCTAAATTAAAAAGATAAATTGTCAACTATCTACATTATCGCATTATTCTTATCAACAATATCAAATTATGTCACAAATTCTATTATTTTTTAATTATAGGTGACGAAATAGAACAAAAAAACCTAATATTGGTATATATATATATATGAATGAAGTTTAACCGAAAGAACAAACCCATGAATATAGAATTCATCCATACCATGCGAAGTGCGTGGAGCAGCAGGTAATGTCATCGTATCTTTATTGGCGATCGCCAACCACCTTCATCTACTAAGCCATTTCTGCAACAACTTCACGATTCCCATTAGAAACCAAGGGAACATATAATACTAATTTTGCTTGCTCTACAAGCTCAACCTAATTTCTTCTTTCAAAAGTCTCTCAGATTCGCTTTTCCTTATCTTCAACGACTCTCTTTATTAAGTGACCATAGTACTTTCCAGAAACAAAATTCTTTTGTTTTCTCATCTTCAATCATTTACCATCGCTTTCAATTCGTTTTGATGCCTTAACAGAATCCTTAACCACCGCCATTACCTTCTTATCAACCATTTTTACTTTCTTTTATTTCACTCTTTCTTATCTTACTGCAGTTTCAAAAATGGACGTCGTCTCTCTTTGAAGGTGATTAGTTAAAGATGGGGAATTGTTTGGCTAAATCGAAGAAACCCACGGCGCTGGAGATCGCGACCTGCGATTGCACCAGGCGTTTCAGGCCTGTTCCGGTGCAGGTTGTACGGTTCTACTTCGAGTGCCGTCGCCGCGTACGTCCGGTTCGTGTTGCTCCAAAAGAACTTGTCTCTGCAATTGGTTCCCACTGAGGCGTCCGATGGCGAAACGCTGGTGCTGGAGATTGGGTCGGAGAGAGTTTCGGATTGCCGGGAGACGCTGGTGCGGTTCATAGAGGAGAAATTCCCGCATCCGCCGCTGAAGGTTGGAATGGTGGTGGATACGGCACCGTTGGTGGTGAAGGTGACGCGGCTGCAGCACAGGAGCATAAAGTGGCACATAGAGAGGATGGTGAGGTGGACGGAGGATCTAAGGACACGTGGGAAGAGGAAGACGGTGGATCCGGCGGTGGGAAGTCCGAGGATGGAGCTGAGGAAGTTCGCGAAGAATTACTCTGAATTGCTGGAACTGATGTTGGAGTATGCTCAGATGGAGGAGCATGGTTTTTAGAATCGGACTGATTAACGAAACGGTTGAATTGGTTTAATCGGTTGAATCAGTTTGATCGATCGGAAGAATCAGACGACGTTATAATTATTTAAAAAATTAAATAAAAATATCAAAAATATTTAATAAAAAATAATTTTTTATATCACAAGTTATAACACATATAAGTTAAAAACCATAAAATCAAGTGAAACAAAATGATTCAAATTAACTATAACATAATATTTAAGGTAAAACATATTAAATAATAAATATAATTATATAACTATAATTAAAAAATAAATTTGGGGTTAAAAAATTATAACAAAATGATATTGTTTGGTTTAATTTTTTTTTTAAAATAATCTCACATGGCTAAGAAACATAAAAGAGCATCCAAAAGTCTAAAGAGTAAAAATATGAGAACAAAACAATCTCACATTGCTAAGAAACATAGAAGCGCATCACAACTAACTTCTATAAATAATAGATGTAATTTGGCATTCAAAATCATGGAGCCTTTTGGTGAGCATTGAGTGAACTATTCTTTCACTTCAATCAAGCTCGAATTTTAGGCTTCAATCGAGCTTCTAATTTTTTTTTGAGTTCAAGCTTTTTTGAGTTCAAGTTTCAATATTATATTTCAAGTTTGAGTTGAACTTGATAATTTTTAGCTTGTGAGTTTGAGTTGAGTTGAGCTTACTTTTAAAGTTTTCAAGTTCGAGTCGAGCTCAGCAATACTCGAGTTTGACTTGGCTCGTTTAACAAACGACGTTGTTTGGTTTAATTTTTAAAAAAAAAACAAAAATCTCGGTTTTTCCCGGTTTTTTCAGATTTTCAGCCGGTCCGAACGGTTCAGCGATTTTGACTGATTCACTAATAACGGTTCAACCGGTTTAGATTGAACCGAACTAAACAACAATTTTCGATTAAACCGGTTGAACCGACTGATCCGATTCGATTTTCAAAACAGAATGGAGGAGAGAGTCGTCTTTCCCCTTCTCCAAACTGCCGATCCAGGTACGATCTCTTTCTAATTTTTTTATAATAAAATATATTTAAATAATTTAAATAAAAGATTATAAGAATTTATTACACGACAATCATTCTAATTTAATTAGTATATTACTTATAATATTAAAATTTCAACTTTAAATAATATTTTTAAAAATAATATTTTATTCTTTTAAACTAATTAAATGTTAATTAAAATTTTAATATTATTTTCTTGTTTTAAATTGATAGCATTTTAGTAACAAAGGTTTCATTAATTTAAAATTATTATATTAATGACGAGGATTAATATAAAAATAAATGATCAATTTATATAAATTTTTTGGGGTCAATTCAGGTATTTAACATTACAAACATTATCAATTTAGGTATCTCAATGGTAACGGGCATTAAAAAATTCCGTTAAGTGACACATGTCACGTTCATATAATTTAAAAAAAATTTAATTTAAAAAAAAACTTAAAAATATAATTTCTTTTTTAAAAAAATCAAAAAATTTGAAAATATTAAAAAAATTCAGAACTTTGAAAACTTGTATTTTAATCCTTAAACTCACGCCGGTTGTCGCCCTTTGTTATCTTCGAATCTCCACCCAACCTCACCTTCACTAGACGATCAATAACCTCACGAACAACCACCAGAACAAGAGCTAACGTACAACGAATCACATAACCCCCCGACGAAGAACAAAGCTGTAAATCGCGACCCACGCGATCACGACGGTCAATTGACGTCGAGGATTACAATGTCTAACTATAAAGATGACAATGACAACATCAGCGACGATGGTCGTTATTGGCAAGAGAGGTAGAGATTTGAGGTTTTTTTGTAATTTAAGAGAAATTATGTTTTTTTAATTTAATAATATTTTTAAGTTTTTATAAATAAAATTTTTCAAAATTACCTAAAGACGAAATGTGTTACGTAACATGTTTTTTTAACGACCATTACGGTCAAGACACATAAAGTAGTAACGTTTGTAATGTTAGGCACCTGGATTGACGTAAAAAAAAAAGTTTAGGCACCACCTTAAAAAAAGAAGTATAGTTTGAGGACTTATTTTTATATTAAGCCTAATGACAATACATTTTCATTAAAAACAATTAGTTCATATATGTGAACTAAGAAGTTAATTTTTTTTGAACAATTTTTACCTAAAGAGGGCGAAATAGGAAATTTAATTCTTAATGGGTATTGAACCCATAACATAGGGGAGAGGAGATGAGTTACTCGAGACATTATAATGTTGGCTTTCATAGGCGATTCATCTATTCTGAATTAGATAGAGAACTGCAACCAATCATCTTTTAGGAGATGATGAAAAATCTAACCAGAGAAGAGTTTTATTGGACTATTCATCCTCTTCACTACTTTTCTCTGACTAGAGTCTTTTCTTCTTCTTGTCGAAGATGATCGAGTGTGACCCTCTACTTAAATTAGAAAGGATGAACCACCTAATCTTATGCCACAACCTAATATTTTCATCAACAAATTGAATTTTGAAATTTTTTATATTATATTGTTGCATAATACGATCCTCAGATAGGGTAAAAACATAATTGACAATTGACGCCAGACAGAATAGTGATTATCCTGTAGGCTAGCTCCGACAGACGATTCACAAGAGAAAATTCGCCCAAAAACCAGAGAAAAAAAATCTCTAGGGTTTAATAAAATATTATAAAATCAATAATGCCAAAAAGCAGTCCACAAGCCGGACTGTTATAGCCAAAAATCGTCTTTATTAGAATTTTGCCAAAAATAGCAAAATCCCGAAAATCACTCTAAATTAAAATTCGAAATAAAATAAGCAATCTCCCAAAAATCCGGCCTAAATCGGATTTAAATTGACTTCCTAATTAACAATCGAAATATTACCATAAATAGTAAAAAATAACTAAATCTAGTGATTCGGAGGGGAAAACGGCAGAATTTGAGGTTGAAAAAAAGGCCACATGGAGCGTAGCTCAATGTGGAGAGCGTGCGCGTCGAAAAGAGCTTTCCGGATTGGGGTCTTATGCGCGATTCTGACACCTGTAGCCAAAGTTATGGCCAAAAGACTGAAACATACTCAAAACGACCCCAATGAGGAACATGTCACAATCAATTCCCGCCTTTGCGCTGATCTGCCAACTCATGGTATCTCAGCGCCATCAACGTGCAATCTGACAGCTCAGCATCATCTGTCTCGGATCCCCCTGCATCAACAATTTAAGAAAATAACAATGAAAATAAAGAAGATACATACTTTACATGAAAACCCCCTAAATAATATAGAGTAAAAATCATAGAGAAATGTAAAAAATTCAATATAAGAAAATATGAATTACAATTTCTATCAATCTAACAAGGAAAAAAACAATGACAATTTTCTCTTGATAAAAAGGAGAAAACAAATCTATAAGAAAATTCTTTAGTTTCTCTAGTATCCTAAGGATGTTGGAATGATTTGGGATGAGAAGGAACAGAAAAAGACAAAGTTATTTATAGTTGACCTTGACCTTTATGAACTAACTTATAAATAACCAAAAGTTTAGGACCAAATGAATGATTACAACATACCAAGTTTCAACCAAAACTGATTTCATTTCTGCAGCCGTTTGAAAAAATTTCATCTGCATCAAACGGTGCATTAATCGAAAGTTGTTTTAACTTTCAACATATATTTTTTATTTAATTATGGTTGAACTGGTGGTTTAACCTATTCGACCACGGATGAAGTTTTTACAACATTACAGACATCTTACATTCCAACCCGAGAGTTATATTTGTAGTTAAATTGGAGAAAGCGGTGTTGTAAATATAAATGAATGCAGGACTATGTAAAGCTGCAAACGAGGAACATGCAAGGGACCTCCCAGTTATGAATGGCATAAAAGAAGACATGAAAACCATCGGAGTTATGGACTACGGTAGCCCTTCCTACAACGAAGCCCTCTCCAGTCTTTCCAACCGCCTCAAATCGTTGCAGGTACAACTTCACTGTGATGATAACATGGTTATTTTCAAGGATAGATCGAAGGGGCCTAAAATTTTATAAGTCTGTTCTGTTAACATAAAATCTTGCGTCTGTCCCTGGTTATGATGCTTGATGTCTCCGTTGTGTTGTTGAGGTGCAGAAACATTGCAAACAACATTTGGATGACGAAGAGAATGATTTGCTGCCATTGTTGGAGGCAACGGAGCTGAGTGGAGAAGAAGAGATGAGGGTATTTGAGGATTGCTTTAATGCAACGAGGGTCACTCATTCAAATTTATTTAACTTTTTCCTGGAAGGCCTACTCCCCTCGGAAGCTATGGAATATGTGGATTTGATCATGAAATGCACTGACAAACAACTAAGAGCCTCTTTGATTCAGATTATTTCCAATGCCAAGTGATTAGTAATGCTGGTTATATTTTTCAAATAGTGTAATATCTGTGTACAACTAAACCAAATGTGTTAATTTGGTTGTGGAATATGTATCTTTTAGATATATAATAGCTTGTTTCTACTCTATATTTATAAAAACTAAAATAGCACCTTTTGGTTCAACTTTCATGTTTATTCTAGTGGGATAAGGTACTAGATTTCTTAAACAAGGTCAGGGATTTGAATCCTGATATTTACGAACGAAACAAATTGTGTTGGAAGAGTCACCTTCACCTCTGTAGTATTCGGTCCGGATTAATCGATCACTGGATCAGATACCATTGGTTATCTAAAAAAATATCTCTAAAAACATTTCAAATGTCTGACACCCCTTAAAATGTAATCCCTTGATACAAACTCTGACAAGTCCACGTGGCCCATCAAAATTAAATCTATTGTATGTCTGATCATATTCATTGAACATGTCATTCTATAAGTAACCATGATAACCTTATGCTTGACACAAACACGAAGGGTCATTATAGAACCTTTGATCAAGATTAAGAGAAAAGATTCAGAACTTCTTTTCTTCATTTATTCTTCACCTACCTCCTCATGAAGATAGAAGAATTTGATACCGATCAACGATCACATAAAAGAAAATTATATTTTTCTATTCAAAACCGAAGAAATAAATCATGTACAATTAATGTAAATGAGAAATCATGTACAATTGACGTAATTCATTTATTTTTATCAACAATCGTGAAAGATAACTACATTTGAAATCAATTTGAAATGAATACCCTATAGAATAATGTCACACATTCATTTAAGAGTTTTTCTTTTCTTAAAATTTGTAGTGTTGTTTTGATAAAATTGAGTAGAATTTTGAAGTTGTTTTGTGTTTAAGCAGCTTGATATTGTTTAAGTAGGTCTCGAGTTTGAGTTCTTGAGTATGCAAAGAATACGCGCTGAAAAACTCACTCACTAAAACCAGGTGTACGACTTAAATCGATCTAAATTAATCAGGATAAAGCTTAATAATCAGAAGGACAACCAAAAGCATATCCCATAAAAGCAAAAACTATGAGAACATAACGAACAAAAGAACGTCAGAATGATGATGGGATTCGCAACCATGAATAGTAATGAGCTTAATCATAACCAACACAATGCAAATATAAGGTTAAAGTATCCTTGGCCTTATCGATACGATTGGTATCTTAATTAATTACGTGACTAAAATTCGAATCAATTATAAAAAAATAATTTTTTTGACTCAATTCAATGTTAAAAAAATTTAACTCTATTTGACTTAATTTTTAATTTCATAAAGTAGACTCAACTTAAAAAATTAAATAAAGTTTGACTTATAAAACAAGATTTGAAAAATTCAGATTTTTTAGTAATTAATGGGTTAGATTTCAAGTTCGAGTCGACTCTCTCAATTCTACATGATATATGTATATCGTATATGAAAAAATATAAAGAAATACACATACATATATGCATGTATGTATGTATGTATATCATATATGGTTTATAGAAAGCCGTTTAAATTAGAATTATTTAGTACCATAACATTATAAATATTTACAATTAAATTCAAACAAAAACTTAAACTAATTGACTCGACTCAACTAGATAAAATACTCACCCCTAATCCTAATAAAATTAGAACCAAGATGAAACTTTAGGGTAAAATAATAATAATAATAATAATAATAATAATAATAATAATAATAATAATAATAATAATAATAATAATAATAATAATAAAATGAGATCATCTCCGATTGTTAGAGCATCAATTTAAAGTTTTAAAATTAAGGCTCAAGGTTTAATTTATCAATCTTCAAAATTAGTAGAGATTTAAGTACTTAAATGAAAAAACAAGTCCTAACACAGGGAAAATCAACAAGAATAAGTCAGACATGGACAAAACATCTTTTTCGATACCATGATAATCCGACCAGGGATTTGGTTCGTTACGAAATAGTGTGTAATACCCCAAGTGGCTAAAGTATAAACTTTGAAACGTTTAGAGCGAAATTGTAATTTTTAAAAAGTTATATATTTTAGCATATAAATGAACAGTTTGAATTAAAACATAAATTTTAGTGGGAAACAGATTTTCGGTACGAGATTTGTGTTAAAAGCTATAAAGCGGTAAAATTCGGTATTGAAACCAGATATTTGGACTGAACTTGAATTTTACGAAAATGTGAAGGATGTTAGAAAATAGTTGAAAATATTATTTTCATATTTTAGATCAGAAAAATTTTGCTCAGAACAGTGCCATTTTTCATATTTGACTAAAATAGTGAAATTTTAGTGACTAAAATGTAATTTTTAAAAATTGCATGGCCAAAGTGAAAAATTCAAAGCCAAGTTGATTCATCTTTGACCAAATAATATTTTAATGGAGAATATGACAATGACAATTGGTAATTTTTAAGTTTCATTAATGAAAAAAATGGAATTTCCTAATAATTGAATAAAAACTTCAATTATTATGTTATTAAGCCATGTGTTAGGATTTATTTACTATTAGAATAATAAAGAAACTTGATCATTTTCAGCACCAAACTTTATTTAATTTTTTAATTAAAGGGTACTATAGTGAGGCAAATGTGAGTGCAGTTTATTTATTTAATTATTTTAATCGATGACGACGTGCGATAAGTCAACCTCATTGCAATTTACAACATGATTTATAAAGCTTATAAAGAATGTTTTTATAATATTTTATATCAGTTTTATGAATGATTTAGAGTATGAACTGCCCAAGCATGATAATTTTTATGATGGATTTATTTATGATACGAGTCCATTGTATGTATAATGAGAATTGTTGGTACACTTGGCATGCCATTAGTTGAGTACTTATCAATTATCAGTTATCAACTTTGGTACATTCGTGTACCAATGTCCAACACCGTTGGTGTTCAATTTACGATTGTACTGAAGTGAATTGTAACACCCGACCCGTACCGAACCGGATACGAATCTGAGGCGTCACATTGACTATTAAACTCTTTGACTCTTTGGGAATTTAACTAAAATTTGAATTTTATTGTAAAAATTGAAAACACATTTACAAAACATATCAGAGCATCTACAATTTAAAACATTATTAGTACATGCCAATAACACTTCAAATCAAAACTTATACAATTCAAATTTCTCTCTGATATAATAATTCTTATTACCTGTCCTTGCTTATTCAACTTACTCCTCGAAGCTCGTGGATCCTGCATGTGAAAACAATCACACGCTAAGTTTATGACTTAGTGAGACATTATGAGAAATATAAAACAATAAAACATTTACATAAATTTACAAAAGAAATATTAAATACAAAACACCACAAGTTTTATAACTTATAACATATTTTAATAAACATTGATAACTTTATACTCATGTTACTCTTGCTTATACATTTCATATCATTAACATATAGACTTTTAGACAATGTACACATTTATAATCAGTTTTCATTTCATATAAGCTACATATAACTTATACACTTTTCATTTAATATCAATTTGTTTAATTTATGACCATTTATTTAATTAGCCCAACGTATATCGTTAAGAACTCAAGGTATGCGAGTACATTGAGGTTGTGCACTAATGTTGTCACCACAATTCACATAAATTGCACCGAAGTGCCACGTAGAAATTGTCCTGAAGAATCGTGTAGAATTTATCCTGAAGGACCACGTAGAAATATCCCGAAGGACCACATAGATTGTCCCGAAGGACCGCGTAGAACCCTCGACTCTTGGCATGCCAACTATACCCCTAATTCTCATAAAATATTCTTTGGGATTTAGCTTTATAATTAATTTTATTTCATTATTTAAAGTGTGTCTTATTCGCATAGAGTACATTCTCGTAGTTTACTTTCACGTAGAGCATCTTCGTATAAGGTATATTCATATAGAGGATTCATTCATAACATTCCTTATAACATTTGCCACATATCATTTATTTTTCATAGAACATATTCACATAACATTTCACATAGAAAACATTTACATATTATATCACATAGTATTAAATTTAAATCCATATATCATTTACGTTAGCAAACTTTCAGAATTGGGCTCTTCACAAACCAAATTATTCATAACTTATTTCTCAAAGCATGATAGAAGTGTTTCATAGTAAAATTTAAAACATGTTTCTTTCAAAACATTTAAGGTTAACTCATCATGAGTCTTTATCCTATTAAATTTAATAGTATAGTAAAATGCACTCACCTTTGCCTCAAGTAAGTTCTAAACGAAATCCTTTTCTTTTCTTTTAATCTCGTACTATGTCGATTCTTCAGTACCATTTCGATCCAAATCTACACATAGACATGTCCCATATCAATACAGAATCTCCGTTAACTTTTAACCGATTAACAATACATAAATGGAACGAAAGACTTTAAAATTTCAAGTTTCATACTTAATAATATCAGAACTCCTTCTACAGTACCGATACTTTTCTCTTATGGTGCCGATACCCCTTCAGTTCAGTACCGATACCATTTTGGCATTATAGAATTTCGATTTCAGTTATAGTATCGATAACTTCCTCTTGGTATCGATACCTCCACCTCAGTATCGATACTGATTCAATCAGTCTCAATATTGTTCATCTGATTCATACCATTTCTTGTAATTTAACTTTATAGTATCCGTATTGTTCTACCAGTACCGATACCCTTACCCAGAAATCACGTATTTCACTTCAAAAATTACCCAACTTCACTTAAATATCCTACTTTTAATTCCATTCATTTCTTTAAACTCATTTATACTTATTACCACTAACTTATATCTATTAAAACCCCCTTTTAACATCTCAATTTATCCATAAAACTCTTTAACTAAAAATCATATCAGTTCTTCAAACATGTTCTTAATCATTTCTAACACTTCTAACCTCATAATTAGACCCTTGACAAGTCAAATATGTCTTTAAAAATCCAATTACAATCAATTTAAATCAATTCTCTTGAAAAACCCAT